CACAATTAGTAGTGATGATTGAGAAAGACACATGTTAGATATTAAATGTCAAAAGGAATCCTAGCCATTCATATACATGCTTTTCCTTTCTATTAAAAAATGATTGCTTTTTGGATAATAAATATATTACACCTTGATTAGAGGAACTCTGGAAAATACTAAAAATATAAAGAAGGTAAATATAAATCATCAACAAACTCATCATTCAGAAAGCCTGTTAATATTATAATGCATTTTTTAACTTTCATGCACAATTTTACAAAATTGATAATACACATATTTTGTATGCCATTTATCACTTTACATTATACCATATTTCCTTATCTCATTAAATTTGATAAAAACATCTAAAGATTGTATAACATTTGAGATTTGACTGTCATACTTTATGTAACCATCATTCTCCTATCACTAGATATTGAGGTTACAAACAACCATGCACATAAACCTTTGTATTTCTAATTATTTCCTTAGAAGAAAAATCTAGACATAAGATTACTATGTCAAAGACTATGTGTATTTCTATGACTTTCTGTAGGTGGCCTCAGTGGAGCAGTGTATAATGCTTGTTTCATTGCATACCTCACCAACAGTGGAGAGTGGTTAGTGTATCTCTTGTCTGCTTTTTAAAAAGTATTTTATTGTAGTATAATATACACACAGAAAAGCTTAAGTGTGAAGCTCAATGATTTTTTCATAAACTGAATACACCATGTAACAGTACCTAGATCAAAAAATGGAACATTATTGGCACCCCAGAAGCTCCTCTTGTGTTCCTTTTCAATTACTAATTCTCTCTCCTAAGGATAAGCACAATTCTGACATCTAATACTATAAATACATTTTTCCTTTTTTGTACTTATGCTCATTTTCATAGTAATAATTTTATTGTTTAAAAAAGTTAACTACTTATTATAAAACACTTAAACTTTATTGAAAAGTACCAAAAAAAAAGGCTGGAAATCACCCAAAATCATCTCACCTAAATTAACTACTGTTAACCATGTTTACCTCTGCAAGCATGGGTAGACAGATATACAGAGTAACAGATAAATTATCCTATGCAATAGGATTATAATCTTTAACTGAATTGAAGAAAGGGAAACTAAAAACTAAAACAAAAAACAAACCTCTAAAACTTCCAAAAAAATGTTCTTTGAGCTTATACAAACCTATTAAAAGGTTTGAGTCTCATTAAACAGCAAAACCAAGGCATTTCCTACTACAAAAAAAATGAAATGTAAATGAACATGCATCCCCTCATCCTTCCCTCCCCACCTGCTAGTTTTGGTTTCTTATATTATTCTTATCATTTACACTCAATTCTGTGACCATAATTCCCATTGATACTCTGGTCTTCTGGGCTACACCAGGTTCTGTGTCACCATGTTCCCATATCCCTGCATTGAAGCTTGTTTTCCCATTCGAGGGTCAAAATAATCTTGTGATTGTATATACCCTTGTATCTGGCTTTGATATTGATTCTATTAAGTTTGAATCATTCTTTAATTGGTTTTGACAATGAGCAGTATCCCCACCCCCTTTTTTTCTTTAAAGGACTGACAGTTATTTTCATGTTTGGGAATATCTATGTGTATGTAGCCCTTATAAAGAAAGACAATATAATTATCTTAGGTCACTCCTTTCTTTACAAAGTTGTCATAATAATGTAATAACAAAAAGTAGTAACAGGAAATACTTAGTGTTTAATATGTGGAAGGTACTGCTATAAGCATTCCATGTATGTTAACTCATCTAATGATAACAACGACCCCATGAGACAGGCAGTGTTAGTATCTTTATTTTACAGGTGAGAATATCTGAGACATCAAGAGGTAGACTGGCTGGTCATTGTGTAAAGTGACACAGCTCTGATTTGAACTCACACAGTCTGGCTCAAAAGTCTGTGCTTTTAAGTTTTAACCACTGCTCTGAATGTGTGCAGTTGGCAGATGACTGGGGGAAGGAGCAGTAAAAGATGCTACTAGCCTTAAGGGGTGAAGGGCAGGAATGCTAAATGCCCTGTAATAAACAGGGCAGATACACATAACAAAGATTATACCATGTTCCTTAGAACTTTCAAATGTCTTGTTGGACATTCATGAAATGAAAACTTGTTTAAAGTTACCTGATCCTAGAACACTACATATAAGTACAAAGCATTTTTTTTTGCAAGGTATTAATGTTTTCAGTTTTTTAGGAATGCAACAACCAGAAAAACTGGGCAATGTTTTGGAAAACTTTGTAACTGATGGCAGTATCACAACCCACAGTATTTGAGTTGCAAATACAACACACCTTATCATCTATAAAGTTTTCCCCCACAGACCCATCTCTCCTGCCCACCTCAACCCTGCAGGAGATGCATCTATAAAGCCAGGCTCTGTGCCACCATGTTTCCTCATGCCTGTATCAAAGCTTCTTCTTCCATTGAGGGTCTGGTTAAGCAGACTCAAAATGTCTTGTCATTGTATATATCCCTATACTTGGCTTTGAAAACAGGGCAGTGGGATTTCTGTTTCTGTTCTAATATTCATGCTTTATGTTTTAATGTTAATTTGAAAATAAAGCATGTGCTGCGTGTCCCCAAAAAATCAGACTACATCAGTCTGCGTTTATAGCTGCCACGTTGTATATGAGTGCCAGCATCACTTAACTACTTCACTACATTTCTAGAGTAGTCATGGTCAAGCATTTATGCATCAATGTAACAATTACTTTATTATAAATTACTTTTAATTCTTCAGTTTAATTAGGACAGCATGCTGATTTTAAAATTATGGATATACTCTTATTTGTGAATTTCATTTTAGGACCCAAAGGCTCCTGTATTTGTTGAGCTCCATAGCATTATGTGGGGGTTGTAACTTTTGAGGGTTTTCTTTGATTTTCTCCTTGAATGTCTTTAGTCTACTTGTTTCTAAATATGTACACATAATGAGAAAACTTACAATTTGGTTGCATCTTCTTTTTTAAGTAACTGCTTTGAGGGCTGGAGGTTAGATTAGGAGGCATGTCATTCTGCACCAGAATATTTATTGTATTTCTGAAGGTTCCACTTTTCAAAGTTTTGCTTTTTTCTTTAAGTTCTATTCCTTTCCTTGTTTGCTTGTTTCTAGTGAATTTTTGGTTGCCATTCTTACTACTGCTTATTGTCTGATCATTTTGTTAGCTTTTTGGGGGAGGAGTGCTGAAATCCTGCTTTACTCAGCAGTCTGCTTTAAGCACACTTTTTGGATGGTGTGCTTTTCTTTTCCTTTGACAAAATCATCCCAGTAAACAAACTCCTCAGTGTGAAAGGGTGAGTCCTTCAGTTACTGTTCAATGTTTGAATGAAAATTTACTACAAGCTTTTCTAATCTCAACTGCATTCTTCTTACAGCTAATAAAGTATGAGAGTCTACTCAGGGTCCATTATCACATATCATATCACTTCTGGAAATATTAGTTAATATTTATTGAGGGATGACAATGTGCCACTCACTGTTCTAAGAGCTTTACATTTATTATCTCATTAATCTCACAACAATCCTGGGAGGTACATATTATCTTCATAGGAAACTGAAGAGCAGAACAGTTACTTAACAATTTGCCCAAGGTCACATAGCTAATAAGTGGCAAAGCAGGGATTTGTACCCTGGTCATCTGATACCAGAATCCATGTTTTTTATCCACTACCTTACCACCTCCCAAGTTTTTTGGGGCTTCCTTTCCCCTCAAGGACTAACTGCATCACAGATTTTTTGATTACCAGTTTCTCTTTATAGTCTATCACAAATGCACAAATGTTCTATAAATACTTCTTGCTTAAATAAATGAAAGGCTTAACTGTTTATTTTCATTGTTCCCCCAACCCCATCTCTTTTAATGTTCCTTTTCCATTCAGCAACAATAAGAGCAAACTAAAATCCCAAATACCATTCTTACTCATTTTTGAGTGTTAAGAGAGAACTGCATTTTATAAATTGAAACAACATTATAAGCTTAATAGTTTTCACCTCTACTTTCTATGTGAGCTGACCAAAGCAGAACAGAAATGCATGTAACTCTTTTGAGTATTTCACTGTATGGCCCTGATAACACATTTGTTTTGAAGGGGAAATTCTTTGTAATACATACAAGAATTAGGTACTCCTCTTTCCCACTTCTGGCAGAAGCAGCTCTATGCTCTCCAGCAATTCAGATCACCAATCATGTGCCCTTCAGGGCCCTGCCAGTCTTGGGACCCATTCATACACCAGATCTAGTCAAGTGACCTGTGTTCCCCATCAAAACTTACTGTTCTATCTCTTAGTTTGCCAGATTTCTGACAACAAATTAACAGGAAGTCAAGCAGATCAACAGATTATATATCCTAGGCAGCATGCTTGATTTAGAGTGAAAGGTTAGTGAATATGTTATGCTAACACAGAAATTATTGCCCTTTCAGATACTATGACAGGCTGATGGTTTTGGAATTATTTTGAAATATGCAGGCCTCTTGTCTCACTGCAAGTTACACCTCATAAATAACATTAAAGAATTTCTTTATAGATATCAAAGCATGTAAATAAATGTATGAATATAACACAAGGAGAAATACAATTGCAGATTTTTACATAAAAACAGGTATTTTAATACCCTATGGTAAAATAACAGGGTGGTAGGAATAGAATGATTATGGGAATGAAAATCTGTTATAGACAATTCCTTATGGCAGAATTTATATATATAAACTAACTCAATGTGGCAAAGAACCCTTGTATGTTACAGATATATACCAGTAACCAACAAGTATCATGTCCACATGATGTGAATAACAAAGAGAAGTAAATTGAAAGGATAATGGTTTGGATAGAGCAAATTAAAAAAAAAATTTACAAAATTAAAAAGATCTGAATTAGATTTGTTAGAGGAGGAACTGTTCAAGACTAAAAATCTACTTCAATTGTTGGCATTTTAATAAAAAATGCAATGGCATCATTTGAAAACTGAGCTTATGTTTTTTGAAAATTACTTACACTGATGACTGATGAAGAAGTTGACAAGTTTAAACCTTCAAGATCAGCTATCAAGCTTGGAGAAAGAGCTGGTGTGGGAAATGCAACTGGAGTGGATATTGTGTTAACTGTAAAAAAAGGCCCAAATTAGCAAATGTGCATGAAAATTTAATTCATATTATTAAAAGCAACATTTTTAGTTTATTAGGAAATCTAATTAAATTAATTTGATTAATAAATCTATGACAATTCTATTTAACATCTTGATTTAGTCAAGTTATTATTAAGTCATGGCAGTTATTAGTCTTAGCTTTCAAAACATAACAGCAAATCCTGTAACAAAATACAGATATAAATATTTTGAATAATAATTTTTGAACATTTTTGTCACATAACATTATCACTAACATTTATCACCTAGTAACTTCACTAAAAGAAAAAGGTAAAGGAGTATTTTTTTCAGACTAATATAAAAATAAGAAGAGCTTTCAAGAGTTCTCTAGTTAATTAAGTTAGAAGTCTTAAAAGGGCATTTAAATCCTTTCTCTATTTTATTCTCCACTGTAATCATCACAGGAGCCCAGGCTAATTCCCTTCCAATTATAAATGCTTTAAGTCAGCAAAAGCTATGCTAGATAGAAATGTTTGATCCTAAAATTTTTATGTACTTGAGATCAGATACCTGAAAATATGATAACCTTTTAAAAATGCAAATCTGAGTACGTCACTGCCCTGCTTAAGACTCTTCAAAGGCTCACAGTAGCCTTCAAGATAAAATTCCAACTTCTTAATCAAGTGTGCAAGGTCCTCTATGAGCTAGCTCAGCACTATCCAATAGAACTTCTTGTGATGGTAGAAATAATTCTATAGTTGTGCTATAGAATATAGAGACCACTAGCACATATTCTAATGTGCTCAGCTAGTATGACTAAAGAACTGCATTTTTAATTTTAAGTTAAATTTAAATTTAAATTTAAATTTAAATTTAAGTAACTACATATGGCTATCAGCCACAGTATTGGGCAGGACAGGTCAACCTCTGATTTCATCAGCCATTCCTATGTTCCAGCTCTACCGAATAATAGTTCCCAAGATCTTGTTTCATGTTTTTGAGCCTTTTATATTCTGTTCCCTTAACCTAGAAGGTACTTAGCTCTCTGCCTTGCTCACTTTGCAACTTCTATCCATTAAGATACCATTCAGGATGAAAGCATAACCTGACTCACCTAAACACAGCTTGTTTAGGTGTTGCCCTCTTTGTTCCAGATACACTTTGGACACACTTCTATAACCATACTTCTCTCGTAATGTCAATCTGTGTGTTTACACATATTTTTATTTCTACTAGTGGGTACCTTTAATGTATATGTATTAATTGTTGGTCCTTAGTAATTCAACTGTTTTTTCAATGAAATAAATTAAAATGTGGAAAAGTGTTAGCTTTTGACAAATTCTCATTCCAAAATAATGCTATAAAAGTAGCATGTAATTTGACATCACTTTTCAAAACATTTTTTTCTCATTTCATTTTCACAATATTCTTTAAATTAGGCAAAACAAATAGTCATTCATAAAGTTAGCAACAAGTATTTCTTGAACAAGAGAGGAAGGCAGAGACAAAATTCAAGATAGTCTCTGTCTTCAATAACCTAAAACCTCATTGAGAAAAAAAAAAGATACACAAGCTTTAAGAGAAAATAGGTAACAATACAATGCATATATGATATTGCCCAAAGAAGAAAATTCAGAGGAAATCTTGAATAAAATCTTAACATATACAACAAAAAAATTAGAGGAGATTGGGTGGAGGAGGAAATGGAGCCCTTGGTCTCTCAGTTGCACTCACTTTTCAGTATGCCTAAATTTAAAGGACTGCTACAATTTCCCAGTCCTCCTTAGCAAGTGCCACAGAGAGTTGAAAAATAAAAAAGGATCAGTGAGAATAAGGTGGTGGCTTTATGTACAGGAAGGAATGAAGCCCAACGTTTGATAAAGGTCAGATCTGAGTAAGAGGAAAGGAAGAAGCCTGTTAATTACTACATGAGAAAACGCTGTAAACGAAGGCTGAGAGGTGGGAAACTGGAAAGCTAAGGGGTTGGATTTATCTTACACACCAAAGGGAACGACGGAAAGTCTACCAAAAAGAAGAAAGGTGATACATGGCACTGCAGGATGACTGATTACACAGTAGTATAACAAACTGAAGAAGGGGCAGTCAGGATAACAGGAAGAATTTACAATAGTTTAGGCATGACATGAAAAGGACTGAAATAAGATAATGGCAGTGAGAAGGCAGAACAGCCTTTATATTACAAACATTATAAACAAAGGCATAGGGAGAGTAAGGCCTGCCAAGGTCATAAAACAACTGAAAGGGCGCTCTCCTCTCTCTGAGGTCGCCCGCACTTTCTAAGTGTGTAAACTTTTAATCTCCTTCTCTCCAACCTTTCAGGGTGCTCCTCTCTCTGAGGTCGCCTGTACTTCTTTCTAAGTAACTTTAAATAAAACTTCTACTCTGCTTAAAAAAATAAACAACAAAAACCAAAAAACAACAGAAAGGTAGAGCCAATGTAAGGCTAGAAAATGGCTCTTCTGACTTGGATCAAAATATGTTGCTTTTCCATGCAACAAGTAACTTTTCTGGTGGTTTCTAAATGCGTGTTTGTTCATTTGTTTGTCCACTTAAAATATTAGATGCCCATGTAAAAAATAAAAATTGAGTACAAAATAGCCTCTGATTTCTACTATGGATTGGCAAAAAACAGAGAGAGGAAAAAGACAAGAGTGGAAAATTCACACCTCAGGTATGTTTGACTTAAAAAAAATGATAGGCTTTTAACATTTCAGAAGACAGAGGCACTGGTATTAAAGAAATTATTACATGTGTGTTTACAAGTCTGACAAGATGAAAGTTAGCCCTGAAAGTTTATCCTAAATTAGATTCTGAGGCCAGCTGACTTTGTTGAAGTATTTGATTAATGGGTTAGAAACAAAATGACTATCTGTAGTTTTTTAAAAAACCAACAACATGAAATACAAATTAAGGAGAGATATCATTTCCACCCATCAAATTGACAAAGGCAATTTTTAAATACAAAATACAGCATTGGTAAGGGTATAAGTAATCTGGCACTCACACTAATACAGGGTAAGTTAGTACAAGTTTTGCGGGAAGCAATTTTAAGCAACAGAATTCTTCAAAGCTTTTGTCCTGGCAATTCTGCTCTGGGGAATTTACCTTAAGGAAATAGTCATGGAGATAATGCAATAATATACTTATGATGATGTATATTGCTTCACTGATTGTGACAGCAAAAAATGGAAACAAGTTACATTTCCAACAATAGTAAACCTGTTAAACAGAATTTATTATAACAGTATAAAGGATAGCCATAGAGTCATTAAAAATGAAGCTCTTAAAGAATGTTTATGGATAAAAAGTAATGTGTATGATAAACAGAAAAATAAGCAAATGATAAAATACTATCTTAGTATGAGCCAATTTCTGGGGTAGGGAATCTGCATTTGAAAAGAATCTGAACTGATGTCAGAATGTAAGCCCAGGGTTTTTGGATTACAAATCCATTTTATTTTCTTCTTTTTCAACTTTTACAAACTTCTTTTCACTAAAGCATATTTAATAAAATAATTATATAATTATTTTTAATATATTTAATAATTTAATAATTATACAATTATTTTTCTTATCAAATTTTTTATTTAAAATTTAAGAGTAAGTTAAACTTTTAATATATAATGGTTTAAATGAAGTTATTTAACTTGTTAAATGTTATACGCTGCTGCATCACTGTTATTTCTATCATAGCTAACTAACCCTTATATAATGCTTATCATGGGCCAAACAGTTTTAGGTGGTTTTATATTTGTCACTCATTTAATCCTCGATACTCCTAACACGTATTACTATTATCCCAATTTTACATATAAAACAAGTAAAGCACAGAGAGATTAAGTAACTTGCCCAAGGTTACACAGCTTCTAAGTAACATTTGAACTGGGATTCAAAATCAGCCCAGCTTCATTGTCTTCTTAGCCTCTCTATTCCCTTTACTATGACTTATTCAACAACATGGTACACAGATCCTAAGGCTCATCTGAAGCATGATTACTGTGGGCTGATAAAAATTTTTTAAAACTTAATAGTTGTGCTAATACTGTAATTACACAGGCTTATATTTCCTATCAAAGAGCACCAGAGTATGATTGCTATTTTATGATCATCCTACTGAGATCACATGGTATGAGTATGAAGAGATATTTTAATTTCTAGAAATACAAATATACCTGGAAGAAAGAAAGCACATTGCTATCTCTAAGCCTAATCTATTATTAGGCCATATATTATCCCAGCATAAATATTTTCTAATGTATTATTACGTGGCCCCATGAAATAAAGTCATAATAATGCATAATCTAAAGGTACTATAGAAACTTTTTAGCCATTCTTTTGTTTCACAAATGAATAAAAGGAGGCATAAAAAAATTAACTCACTTAATTGATTAGAGGCCATACCAGGATGAATACCTGTAATTCTGGTAACATCCCCTCAACAGATACAATAGGAAAAACTAAGTTACTTACCCAACATCACAGAAATATTTTTAGTACAGCCAGTCTATTGCAGGGTTGCTAGCTATAGTGCTTCCTTAGAGAGAGACAATGATTATTTGAGGAAGCAGCACATTCTTTCTGTCCTCCATGCCTTTACTTCCTCACTCTCTTCTCTTGCCTCCAGCTGCTTGACTGATTATTACACTAGGTTCAAGTGTTAATCCTGATACTGCTAGATGGGTTAGGTACTCCAAGAAGCAGTCTGTGTTCTTTCTCATTCCTTTTACAATGTGGCAATCTAATTGCCAACTTTTCTGTTTCTCCCATTATACTTTGAGATTTTCTTGGGTAGGGACAATGTTGTATCCATTTAGAATTGCCAGCATATAGCAGATTACCTAGGTCATAGCAAGTACTTAATAAATGTTTCCTGAATGAAGACAAAGATAAATTCAGTACAGTTGACCCCTGAACAAATTGGGAGCTAGGGGTGGTGATCCCATGCAGTCGAAAATCTGTGTATAACTTTTGACATCCCCAAAACTTAACTACTAA